TACTCGCTTCGGTATGCTTGGCAGAGGCTGGAAATTATTGTGAAATGCTGTTTTTTAACTCCCAAGGTCTATTAATAATTAAAAAATGAAACTAAAAATAGTTCAATATTTAGTGAGGTTTACTTACTGATACCCTAAAATAGTCAAAGTGAGGATTAAGAATGAAATAAACCTTGCAAAATTGAGCAATTTACAAGAATGCTAAAATGACTGCTACTGTGATCATCTGCTCCTTTAGGCACGTGTATTAAAGTGAGTTTTGACCTGCCTAATCCTGTAATATTTGTAACTGACTTTCAAGCTTTATCAAAGTGCAAGGCTGTTTTAGTAAGGGATTGAATCACAGCTGTGTGGCAGAGGAGTTGGCATGCATTTGGGATTTTCCAGGAGGCAGTTTGATTTCCTGCTCTCCTCTTAATTGCACACTGCTGAGAAACATGTAAATATCCTCCCTTAAATTTATTGCATGGATACAAAATGCCTGACCCCTTAAGCCTTGTGATGCAATGCCTGTTATGTATAATCTTCACACTGTCCCACACAACATCCTTGTCTCTAAATTGGAGAGAAATGGATTTGCTGGATAGACCACTCAGTGGATAAAGAACTGGTTGGACAGTGACGCACAGAGAGTTGTGGTCAGCAGCCCATTGTCCACGTGGAGGCCAGTGATGAGTGGTGCCCCTGAGGGATTGACACTGGGGCCAACACCGTTCAACATCATTGTTGGCAACATGGACAGTGGAATTGAGAGCACTCTCAGCAAGTTTACTGGTGACACCAAGCTGTGTGGGGCAGTCGACATGCTGGAGGGAAGGGATGCCATCCAGAGGGACCTTGACAGGCTTGAGAGGTGGAACAATGAAAACCTCACGAAATTCAACAAAGCAAAGTGCAAGGTCCTACATCTGGGTCATGGCAATCCCAGCAGCAGTGAGGAGAAAAACTTGGGCATGATGGTCGATAAGAGACTCAACATGAGCCAGTAGTATGTGCTTACAGCCCAGTAAGCCAATTGAATTCTGGTCTGCATCAAAAGGAGTGTGGCTGGCTCCCCTTCTATTCTTCTGAGACCCCACCTGGAATACTGTGTGCAGTTCTGGTGCACTCAACATAAAAAGGACATGGAACTGTTGGAGCAAGTCCAGAGGAGGCCATGAAGTTGATAAGAGGACTGGAACATCTCCCCTAAGAAGACAGGCTGAGGAATTTGGGGCTGTTGAGCCTGGAGAAGAGAAGGCTGCACGGAGACCTCGTAGTGGCCTTTCAGTATCTGAAGGGGCTACAGGGAAGCTGTAGAGGGACTCTTTGTTAGGAGCTGCAGTGACAGCACAGGGACTAATGGGTTCAAATTGAAAGGCGAGAAATTTAGATTAGGTATCAGTAAAATTTTTTCCTGTGAGGGTGGTGAGACACTGGCACAGGTTGCCCAGGCAGGTAGTGGATGCCCTGACCCTGGCAGTGTTGGATGAAACCTTGAGCAACCTGGTCTAGTGGGGAGGTGTCTCTGCCCATGGCAGAGGGTTGGGACTAGATGATCTGCAAAGTCCATTCCAACCCCTTAACAATCTCTGAATCTCTAGGAAGTATCACACAGTTGGTCTGAAAACATTTCTAGGTAGTACTTTTTTCCTGTACTGTTGAGATTTGCCATACAAGTTATTTTTTTTCAAGGTCTAGTGCAGGGATTCCCAAAGAGTGTGCTACCACAGCAGCCTGCCTGCTCCTACCTAGAGTGAGTTGTCCCACGGAACAGGGAGCAATGTGGGCACAGGTCCATGGGCTGCAGTGCAAAGTGGAAAAAACAGCCATGTGCTGCCTCTTTTTGTTTTGTTTTGAAAGTTTGGGAAAACAGTCATCTCTCTGGGGTTGCTGCTCAGAGCACAACAAAATGAGCTGTGTGGCATTTGTTTTTCCCCCACAGTATTACTTTGTCACAGTAACTCACCTTTCAGCTTCATTTTGAGAGGTATCTACTGATTTCTTTTTGCCTCTCTATTGCTTCTGGCATCTGTAATACTGTTTCTGAGTTACTGTCATCCTAAATTTTTTTCTGAAGAAGGAAGCTATCTAAAAATGACAGTAGAGTTGGAAAAATTAAGTAAGAAGCCAAAATAGCATGGCTACACAGGCAATACCAATGGCAGATTAACTGCTGATGTCTAAAATGTTCCTGACTATACTTTGATTGTTACTCACCCGTTATTTGGACTTACATTGTCTTAATGCCTTTCATACCGTAAGAGCACTATTTGTTGTCATTTGAAACTCTCCAGGAACATCCCAAATAATAGGTTGGTACCATTATGGGCAAGAAAAGGCCATGAGAAACATGTGATGACAAGATTTCAGGTATTTTCCAGCTTTTGGATCAAATGCACTGGTTGGGAGGCAAAGACATGCTGTTACTGATGTCCTGTGCCAGGATGGGGCCCCTGTGTTACATTTCATTTCTCAAGATACAACAGTGATCCTAGAAACAAGCAACCTGAAGATAGTTCTTAGGTCAGTGGTGAAACAGATCCTTACTGCAGAGTGTAGGGACACCACCTCAGTGACATCCATTAGTTGCTGAGCTAGTATAACAAGCTGCCTTCATGTTGTGAAATGCTTCAGTCATCTGGTCACTGTGATAAAGATGGGTTTATTTGCTTAAATGCAGCATAAAGAGCAGAAACAAGTGTAAATTGCTGCACTTTACCAGAATCTCCAGCAACAGTCAGAGCAGGGGAAAAAAAAGGCAGCAGGCAAACATGCATTGGCAGCACTTCACACAAACATAGTCCTCTTTGGAGGTTTCTCACGCAGCTGCAATAGCTCTCCGGCTTTGATTCGACCTTTGCGTATGTAGCCTTAGAACATGGTAAATGGGTCATGTAAAATAAATCACTGCTTTTCAACAGCATTTCACAGGGCATCATATATCACTGTAGATGTAAGACTATTAAATCTGTGCATCAGTCTATGAAAATATTTCTTCATAATAAGCTTAGTCTGTCATGGAGCTTGGAGACCATTATATATGAACGCCAAGGGAGAGAAGATTAGGTTCCAAGATTTTGACCACAAAATGCTAAGTCTAAGTCATCAGAATTTTTAGCTGTTTCAGAGACCAAAGTTATTTTTATTTTTGGAAGTGGATTATTGATGACACATCCCTCCAGCCCTCAGCACGCAACCTCAGCTGTCGACATTCCTCAATGCCTAGCTACAAAATGCATCCAATGCTCTTATATGGTCTCTTGGCTGGGGCTGTTGGTCTTATACCCTTACAGCAGTTAAGGGGTTTGTGCCCTCTTGCAGGTTAACTGGTCTCCTATAACACAATGCAGATACCAGAGAAACCTCAAATTGGAATGTTGTCATTAGTTATAATCAAGCATCCTTGGAAATTCTTTCTCAACGTCTTCCTGAGCAGGTATCTTTACATGAGGACAGTTCCTTGTCTCACCCCCTACTCAGAGAGCATCCAAGAATGCAGCACCCATATGGTAGGACAAGAAACAAAGAAGCTACAGCCCACATTTCAGCTGGCAGTTCAGAAACTGACAGCAGCAGTACAGAATATTTTGGAAGTGGACAATTTCCTCTCAAGGAAGACACCAGGTTCTTTTATGTAACTCATATTTATAATTTTAAAATCACTACTTCAAAACTTATTTTCAGCAAAAAAAATAAATCCAGCTGGCTCATCTGTAACATACCAGCACCTAACACTTATTCAGAAAACAGGATCAGGAAAAGAACGGTTTGGAGATCCAGAAGAAAAATTTATCCTCCAACTCTAATACCATTTAGACATGGAAAGGGATAAATAATCTGTAGTCTTAAATCTGTCCTTGCAGGCTGCTTGTGTATGCACACAGAACTGAACTGCACAGATGTGACAAGATCAGTCTAAAGAGGTGACAGTGTAACTTGTTCTTTGGCTTAATGTTACATAGCACCATTTCAACAAGATAGTGTTTCCTAGATCTCCACTTTGTTGTCTTTGTCACATGGGCACTGTTGGTGAAAACTTCTGTGCATACTTGAAAAATACCTTCCAGAAAAATCAGCTGTTGCTAGAACCTTGCAGGCATCCCAAGGAGAAACACCTCAGCAGCCATTACTGAAGAGCACCGAGACAGTTAAAAAACCCAAAGTTTTGAAAAAAGAAGCAGCTGTGGCAGCCTGAAGTAGTATAGCAAAGAGCACACAGTCTGGGTAGGAGAAAAAGAAAAATTGAGGCCAAGTTCGTTAGCAGATAAAACACAAAACTGAGAAAAGAATGGCTGAAAATTTATTTTAATTAAGCCCAGAAGTAGAAGAAACCACGCAGGAGTAAAAAAAATAAAAATATGTATATGCCAACTGAGTATACTTTGTCAACTGATTTACAAACCTAAAGCCAGCACGTACAGGGTTTTACCAAGTTAATTCTCAGAACGACTTTGCTCACATTCCCATGTGCAAATGCATTAGCTGCAGAACAATAATGCTCTGTGTAGGCTTTCTGGCCATGTATGGCTGTTAATTAGTGCCAGCACAGATTCCTTTGCACAAGCTTCCTCCAGCAGAAGAGAAAAAATATGACTAATTCCCACTTATTGCCAGCATAAAGACTTGGCAAACAGGAATGCAACCTTGAACATGAAAATATTGCTAGAAAACACACCAATATTAAAAGGAAACAAAAGCTGGGCATGATACCTGCTTAAGTATCATGGGTGTTCTCTGCTGGCCAATTATAACAGTGCTCCCTAACCATTTCCTTGGTTAACTACTTACACTAGTCCGATCCCACCTCAAAAACCTGAGGTGAGAGATTTCTACAGCTGCATTTTTAAATATGCCAGAACATCCTGCTAGGAGCATTTCAGAGCCATGTGACACTGAACAAAACACTGTACAAGTGAGTTTTCCAGCTTGACTTGCAACTGCAAGTAAAATACAATTAACACACCTGCATTTGTAAATGCATAATAGAAATGTCATTCTTCACAAAAGATTTTGAGGTATTTTATCTATATAGCAATCTTTATTTCAAAAGGGTGTTCATTATAAAAATGTAAAAATCCAGCTAAACCAGAAACATTGAGATTATTTTCCTGCACTATCAACTCCAGGGATGTCTATCCCTGTATGCTTTTCCTCACAATATTTCCCAGCTTCCAGTCTGATTACACAGGCGTGCCTAAATGGCCTGGAATAGATAAACACATTGATAAAGGCAAAAGCCATAAAGCTAAATGCATGCAACAAGTTCTATCAGAAGAAACCCTCAAAAAGAGTAAGTGTAGAGATAATCTGCAGGTATCCATGGATTTGCTCAGTCGTCCTTGTCTTTGGCTCCATGTTTCAGGATGCGTGTGAATTCGATGTAGTTGAAATTGCCCTTTTTGTCGATGGGTGCCTCTCTGTACAGCTCATCCACCTCCTCGTCCGTGAACCTGTCTCCCATGGTGGTCAGCAGCTCCCGCAGGTAGTCCTCCTGGATGAACCCTGGAACACAAAATGCAGGAGGACGTAAGAAAGAGGAGCTTTTACATTTAGCTGCTAATACATAGGTGGTAATTTCTTTTCTTTGAATTCCTTCCTTCAATTCAAGATACCTACAGTCTTTGTTTGCCAGGTGGAAACAAAGCATTAAAGCCTTTTACTGTAATTGAGAAATAATTACAGTATTATTACAAATATTTACAACCACCCAAAAAAAAAACCCAACATGGAATTTGACTTTGATCTTAAATCAGTTACAAAACTCAGATTTACTAGACTGGTTGCAAAGAGTAAGTTTTTGGTACTCTTTCTTAAACCATCAGCTTCACATAGCTTGCAATTGCTTCTATCAGGACTCTTGTGAGTCACACAAGATTTTTCTTGCATTAATTTTCTTTCCCTTTGAGTGCAGCTTAACAGAGGGAAGGTGGATATAAGTTGCTGACAGAAGACAAGTTCTTAATTAAAGCAAAACAGCTTTGATGACAAGGATTGCCCTTAAGAAAGTTGCCCTGAACCTGAATTCAAGTTAGGAATAATTGAAGACCCTGCTTCCCAATCAGCATCCTTCATACTTTCTCCTGTCTTGAATGACAGAACTGAAGTCCCAGAAACTGGGGATTTTTACAGTGGTTGAGAAGGCAATTCTATCTGAGGAGGATAAAGGCATGATTTTTACTTCACAAAAGTTAGAATTTTCAGAGAGAAAAAATGTATCATCACGTCTATGAAAACAAGTATTTATTATTGCAAAAGTAAATAATACCTGTACACTGTTATTTCACCCACGTACCTGTTGCCTCTTCATCAAAGCAAGCGAAAGCATTCCTGATTACATCTTCCGGGTCGGTGCCATTCAACTTCTCACCAAACATTGTGAGGAACATTGTGAAGTTTATGGGGCCTGGAGCCTCATTCATCATGGCATCTAGGTATTCATCCGTTGGATTCTTTCCTGCAAAGAAAGGGATTCAGATTTGGTTTAGCTTTCAAACTAAAAAGTAATGTCAATAGCGTCATACAAACTGAGACACGTCTCGTATCCCACACTCAGTATTTTAATTATGACAGCACAAATTTGCTTGGCAAGCATAGACAGCACAGTGCCATTACCAAGGGAGGCGAGCATGTCGTGCAAGTCCTCTTTGTCAATGAAGCCATCCCTGTTCTGGTCGATCATGTTGAAGGCCTCCTTGAATTCCTGTATCTGCGACTGATCAAACATGGCAAACACATTGGAAGTGGCGCGCTGAGGGCGCTTCTTGGTGGTCTTCGTCTTTGCCCTTTTGCTAGACATGTTGGCTGTTGGTTCTAAGGAGACAGAAACATATCCAAGATTTAACCTTGTTAAATCATATTACAAGTCCTTGGGGGAAGGACGGATAAAGGACTATCCAATTCCATGTTACCAGCAAATACCCCAAAGTACACATTTATTTCAGTATCTTCTGCTCCATTTTTTTTCATTCAGACTTCATGAGCTATTAAAGCATAATGTCTTTCAGGATTCAGGGACTGGCACTACAGCAGGCTACAGAAAAATCCAAATCAAATCACAGCTCTTGAAATTAAACTCACACAGTGCTTATATTGCTTATTCATTACTCCACCTGTGTCTTCCACACATCAAGCTGACTTCATACTTAGCAGTTTGGGAGGCACTGATCACCTACCATGTAGATGGTAACCTAGCATGCTGCTAACCTAGCAAAGTGGTAGAATAAATCAGGCAGTATGCTAAACTAACATTTGGGAGAGGATAAAAGTATTTTAGGCTCTGAGTAACATTTTGTTAGAATAGCTGCTGTAGAGACAGAGAACACTGACTTGTTTCGAAAGGACTACATGGCTATTCTCTTACACAGCAGAACTATTACACAACATGTGCCAGCATATTCACTTTTAAATGAATTAGTGGTCTAATAGTTACAAAAATATGAAGATTGTTTTTTTTAAATTATCAACCTTTAAAAACATCTATATAGTCTCACAGAAGCTTCATAAATGTCCATGTATCACAAATACATCAATTTTACTGTTTCCCTTGAGCTGTCAAATGAAGAAATAAATCTGGGAGCTTACATGTTATAAGGCTAATATAATCAGAGTAGGATCAAAGCTTTCGAGGTAACTGCATCTGTTTGGCTGGAAAGAGAGATTTAGTGTTCAACTGAATGCACGAACATTTTAAGTTGAACACTTGTAGTATTCAACTAAATGTATGACAGTAGAAACCCCAAAAGCTGAGTCATCCACTGAATTGCAAACACAAAGGCCTCAACATTACTTCTGTGTATAAGAATAAGTTTCCAGAAGTGTTGCTCACCTCTATGCTTCAGTTTTATCTAATGCAAGCAATCCATGCTGCTATAATCCTTAATTGTGCCCAAACTAAGTGTTAGATTCCTTCCATCCTTCATTTTGAATTTTACAGGAAGCACCTGCAGCGAGTGTGTCCTGAAAGAGGACAAATTTAAGCTTCCCCTGTACTCAGAAAAATACCAACGTTTTGAAATTTACACTAAGAATTAATTTTGTAACTTAAAAATCTGGTCAGAAATGCAATGCTAACCAGACTAACAACACAGTTCTAACTGTTTCTCAGTTTGCTCAAAGATAGACTATTTTCTGCTAGACTCCTACGGAGCAAGACTGAAGTCACAAACAGGAAATTCTTCAGAAAAAAAAAACCCTCAGAGTAAAATTAAGCAAAGTAACTCCCTTACGTAATCAACCAAATACTCAGTCAAAAAAGCAGCTGGAATTGTTTGCTTGTTCTTTAACTAAAAGGAAAGGCATTTTACCTTGCTTTGTATCAGATACTTTATGTGCTGTACCAAGCATCTGCATCATGAAAGGAAATTCCATGGTTCAGTCCTTCTCGGTCTGTCCACAAATACAGCTACTGATTTCCCCTGCTAACCCCACACTTTTAAATCCTATGAACGTTCTTCTGACGTACAAAACAAACCATTATGTCCTGAACTAAAAATAGCCCGTGAAATGCAACTGCGCATCATTCAACAACGCCAAAGTTCTCTTCACTGCATCTGCTAACCACCCGAGATGTCTGCCCTCCACAACAGCTCAACAAATAAACGTGAACTCTTGACATCTAGATACTTGTGAAGACAGCTGACAACAAAGGCAGTTTGCTTTCAAGCTGCAGCCAAGGGTTGTGCATAACAGCAGTGCTTTCCTCCAAAAAGCTCTCGGGCAAGTTCCTGTTAAGCTCTGAATTATCGATTGAAAGTTCCACTGCCCAAAATAAGAGTAAAAAAAAATATCTTATAATAACTGTTTTCTGAAATAAGGCAGTTTTGGGGATATGACCTATTCAAAGTATAGGGAAAAGTTTACTTTGCAGGTGCTTCCAGCAAACCACTGCCTGCAACTCTCTCATCTACAATTCAATCCTGAGCAAGAAGAGGAGGTAACAAAAGCAGACTGCCTATACCTGGTGAGAAGAGAGCCTCATTCTTTTTTAACCTTGTTCAGAAGATTGCCGTATCAGAGTATTGCACTAGATGAAAGATTTGCCAATGCTTGCATTACTGCTTTGTAAAGTTTCTCTGAACTAGGCTTGGGGAGGCAGCCACACAGAAGGCACAACTCCTTCAGTCTAAGAGACCTGTCAGCCTGCATACAGGGAAACATTAGGTCTCCCAGGACTGCAGTGCCTTTCAGCACATGTTTGGTGCAGCTCTGTCTAAAATGCTGCACTCAGCTCTGGGAAACTATGAAGAAGACGGAGATACATTGGAACATGTTCAGAAAAACACTGACATCAATTTAGTTGGCTAAAGAGATCAATTTATGATTTAAGAGTTCCACGTGTTTACACTTCTTGTTTCTCTGTGTCTAACAGTGCCACAGCTAACCTCATCTGAGTCAAGCACTGGACCCCTTAATTTTAGAGAAAGTAGAATTTGATCTGGTAAATTCACCAGCTCATTTATTTTAAAAAAAACCCACACCACAATGCCCTCCAAACAAACAAATCAACAAAACCCCCCCCACCCAACAAAAAACCACACCTAAATCCACGTATTTATAATTTAAACAGGGTAAGTATAGGCTGCAAATAGAATTTCAGTAGAAAAAAATTGGAGATACTTCACATTAGATAGCACAAGTCACGACAGGCAGGATTAGTGACTTTTGTTTAATGCTATGACGTGCTGGGCCTTGTTTTGGAGACCCTCCAAGAAACTTCTAATGTAAGACTTAGCCTGTTAGACTTACCTAAGTAAGACATTTCTGAAAACGTAACTTTTATTTAAGAAGCTTCTCACACATTAGTAATAAATAGGCAGGGACAGCACTGCACTGCTTTGTGCTGCCTGTACATGTTCATTCATTTGCTCAGTCAAGCAACAGCAGTGGATATCAAACCACAGAAGCATATAAAATCATCTTATGGTCCCTTCCTCTAAGGAAATGATAAACCCTTGGAGAAGACAAAACCGAGGAACTAAGGATTATAAATCAGACAATAAGCCATGAAAATTTACCACCCACTAGCAGTGATGCAAGCTGGACTTATTCAGAGGCAGTGACAGAAAGTTGCACTTTGGAAGACATCTTTGTGTTCCAATGTTGGTTTTATAGTAATTGTGAACGTCTATCACTTGGAATTAAAAACAAACAACAAACCACCACACAGCAAGTCCCCACAACCCACAGCCAAGAAATTCTCTACATGAACTAAGATGTAACATCAAATCAGCCTCAAAGCTAAATCCCAAGTTCTGTCCACAAAATCAATTGCAAGAGCCATCAGGTGCAGCCTCCATCCATCACAGTCTGGGTGGAGGCAGGAAGAGATAAGGCCAAGGCGTTCCCCAGCAGATCTGTGTCAGAGCTCAGTAAAGAGCAGCTATGCTTTATAAAACCAAATCCTATGCCATCTCATCCAGTCCTGAAAGCTACCTTAACACACCTGACACTAATAAGCTTCCCAAAAACCCTTATACAGGAGCCACACACTCCTCCAAATCCATTGCCCGTGACAACACAGCCTGTCTGGAGGTGGGGCCGGGGGATCACCGTCCCCTGTGGCTCTGTTGCATCCATGGGCA